CTATTGTATGTTTTAGATGTAGGATTTCTTTATTGATTTTTTGTTTGGATGACCTATCTATTGATGATAATGGGGTGTTAAAGTCTCCCACAACCACTTTGTTGAAGTTAATATATTCTTTTAGGTCTTTCAGGGTATGTTTGATGAAATTGGGTGTGTTGACTTTGGGTGCGTACAGGTTGATAATTATTACTTCCTTTTGGTCTATTTCCCCTTTTATTAGTGTGGAATGTACTTCTTTATCTCATTTGATCAATGTAGGTTTGAAGTCTACTTTGCCAGAAATGTATTGCTGCTCCTGCCTGTTTTTGGGGGCCATTGGCTTGGTAAATCTTCTTCCAGCTTTTCATCCTAAGCCTATGCTTATTTCTGTTGGTGAATGGGTCTCCTGTAAGCAACAAATTGTTGGATCTTCCTTTTTAATCCATTTCGTCAAGCGGTGCCTTTTGATGGGTAATTTAAGTCCGTTAACATTAAGTGTTAGTACTGATAGGTATGTGGTGATTCCTGCCATTTAGTTGTCTTAGTTGTTTGAAGGTTTGATTGTGTGTACCTAAGTTGAGGTTATTCTCTACTTTCATGCTTTTTTTTTCCTGTGGTTTCATGGTTAAGTTGGGTTTCACTTTCTGTGTGCAGAATCCCTTGAAGAATCTTTTGTAGTGGTGGCTTTGTGGTCACATATTGTTTTAGTTTCTGCTTATCATGGAAGACTTTTATTGCTCCATCTATTTTGAATGATAGTTTTGCTGGGTAGAGTATCCTGGGGTTGAAGTTATTTTCATTTAGTGCCTGGAAGATCTCACCCCATGCCCTTCTTGCTTTTAATGTTTCTGTTGAGGAGTCTGCTGTGATTTTGATGGGTTTACCTTTGTGTGTTATTTGTTTTTTCTCTCTTACAGCCTTCAATATTCTTTCCCTAGTTTCTGAACTTGTTGTTTTAATGATGATATGTCGTGGGGTAGTTCTATTTTGATCTGGTCTGTTTGTTGTCCTGGAGGCCTCTTGTATCTGTATGTGAATATCTTTATCTGAATTTGGGAAATTTTCTGTTATTATTTTGTTGAATATATTATGCATTCCCTCCGGTTGCACCTGTTCTCCTTCTTAGATGCCCATGATTGTCAAGTTTGGTCTTTTGATGGAGTCAGTGAGTTCTTGCATTTTTTTCCCGTATGTCTTGAGTTGTTTAATTAATAGTTCTTTGGTTTTTCCTTTAATTACCATTTCATCTTCGAGTTCTGAGATTCTGTCTTCTGTTTGTTCTATTCTGCTGGATTGGCCTTCCATTTTGTTTTGTAGCTCTGTTTTGTTCTTTTTTTCTGAGGTTTTCCATATCCTGGGTGGTTTCCTCTTTAATGTTGTCTATTTTTGTTCTGAGTTCATTTATCTGTTTATTAATTGTGTTCTCTGTTTCACTTTGGTGTTTGTACAGTGGTTGTATGGTTTCCTTTATTTCTTCTTTTCCTTTTTCAAATTCTCTATTTTTTTTGTCTTGGAATTTCTTGAGTGTCTCCTGTACATTTTGGTTGACCCTATCCAGTATCATCTCTATAAAATTCTCATTGAGTACTTGTAGTATGTCTTCTTTTTAAATTATTCTGTGGGCTTCATTGGGTCCTTTGGCATAGTTTATCTTCATTTTGTTGGAGTCTGGATCTGAGTTCTGTTCTCCTTCATTCCCTCTGGTTCCTGTACTATAATTTTTTTGCTGTGGGGAAACTGGTTTCCCTGTTTTTTCTGTCTTCCTGTCATTGTCCTTGGTGTTGTTACTGTCCCTGTACTGTGTGCAGTTAAGTATTTTAGCTGTAATAATAACAATGGTGAATTTAGAATGGAAGAGTGAGAGGAGATGGAAAGCAAGAAGTTAAAGAAAAGGGAAAAACAACAAAGTAGAAAAAAACAAAACAAGGAAACAAAAAAGTTTCAAAGATATAAATAGGGAGTTTGTAGTGTACTAATCAACAGTAAGCGAACAGGCATTAGAGAGACAGAGAGGATTGAAAATAAAAAATAAAAAGAATAAAGATAAGAATAAAAATAAGTAAGTAAATGAAAGAAAAAATATGCATATTAAAATAAAATAAAACAAATGAAAAAGAGAAAATTAAAAAAAAAACCTCCAAGTTCAAATGCAATGAAGTTTCAGTCTTAATAATTTTGGTGTCCGTGTCAGCCTCCAGTCCTGGAGATGGTGCCTCAGATGTTGTTCTGTAGTTGTCTCATCAAAGGGGACACATAAAGTAGAACAAAACTGCACACACACACACAAAAAAACTCCACAAAGTGTCCCAAGTTCAAATGAAATACAGTTTCAGTAAGTTTTTCAGCATGCAGGTGTAGTTCGGTTGTTTTCTCATCAAAGGTAGGAAAAGAGAAAAAAAAGAGTCTGGAGACAGTTTGTGAATGGCTATCTGCGGCTGTTTCTTGCCTATCCACTGCTGTCAGCCTGCTGTTGCTGGAGGCTTATTTATGTAGATCTCTGGGGTGAGCTTAACACTCACCTGGCCCGCAGGCTTTGTTTACTTAGAGTTCTCCTGGGCACGACCTCCACTGCTACAAGCTTTCCCCTTTTCCAAGCACATTGGGCGGAGGTGACAACTGCACCGCTTTTCTCAGGCCTGTGTGTTTGTTTACAGCTCACGTGGGAAGTGGGTCTTCCCCCCTCTCCTGTGGAGTTTTCCTCCCACTGCCGCTTTTACAAGCTTTCCTGCTCTTGATTGCTGGGCACACACCCCCGCTCCTGCTGGTGCATCTCTGGCCAGGCCCTGGTTGTTTATTTACAGTTCTGAGAAGGATTCCCCTCCCCCACTCTTCGGAGCTCAGGGTGCCCCACCCTCTTTGCAACGTGTCTTTTTGTTCTTATTGTTATTACTCAGTTTTCTCTATTTCCCCGGGTGGAGGTAGGTCTGTCCAGGTGGCTATGCTGTTCTAGCCCAATGTTGTCTGTGAGATTTAGTGGTACCGCTTAGCTTACTTGTCCGTGTCTCCCAAGCCTCTGGGCATGGGCAACTGGTGGCCCAGGGCCTCCTGTTTTCTCGTTTAATGAAGTGGAGATTCTCTGACCGCTGAGTGTGGAGGGTCAAAGTTTTGCCTCTTCTTGGTTGTTTTGCCTGCAAGGTGTGTCTCCAGCATCTCTCCAAGATTTCACTATAGGAGGCACGCCGCCATCTTGGAATTCTCTTATACACTCATTTAATTTAATTGTTAAAAACTTACATGACGTATGTATAGTTCACCTTATTTTTTAGAAGAGGCTATGTAGGTTAATTTACCCAAGATGATATAGCTAAACTGGTAGGACCGTATTTTTAACCCAGGCCTGTCTGACTCCAGGTTCTGAATTTTAATTATTAAGTTAATTTAATGATTGGAATTTAGGGAATTAACTCAGTAGCCCGACAGTCTACTAAAAATTGATGGAATCTAATACCTTAGTTTTCTTTTTGTCAGAACCCAGTGGTAAGTCTTACCTATGAATGGCCTGAAGAGGGCACCACTGCAACACTGCTTCTGTGACAGAGTTAGCGGTCTCACTGGTACAGAGCTTCATATGCTAACAGATTTAAAGTTCAGGCCTTTCTGTCTAAGCCTGGATAGATCTTAAAAAGAAAAAAGCTCCATTTGATAAATCAAAATAAACTAATTGCCAGTTTTTTATAAAATTGAATTGAGCATTAGTATTTTTAGTTTCAAATAAGATCTCTGTAATATGTGAATTAGGCAAATCCGTATCTATTTTGTCTTAACTAGAAATAGATTTTTAACTAGAAATAGGTACTGGGTGAATTGAGATGGAAGACATGTGAAATGAAAAAAATTAGTTTCAGTTATAGGAAGCAAGCACTACCTGGTTATTGTTAGGTCACATTTTTGAAACCTGCTGTATTTATAGCAGTATGAGGGTTTGAATTTAGGGTTTCATGCTTGCTATGTAGGCACTCTACTACATGAGCCATGACACTAGCCCTATGTGATAGCTATTCATGTAGATAAAGGAAAAATATTTTAGTGTTACAAATACTAGATTTTTCAAAAGGAGTAATAGTGAAAATAGCCAAACTATGTTGTTTGTGCCAGGTGTTCTGTTTGCTTTACATTATTTAACTACAGATGCAGAAGCTAGGACATAGTTTTAGTAATCCTTAAAGTCACATGAGTAGTAAGTGGCAGAGCCAGAATTTTTGAGCCCAGGAACACTATTATTCCTTTAATCCCAGCACTTTTGTCCCCCTTCTTCACCAAGGTTTTCTAGTTCTTATAAATTAACATGTGATTTGCCTTTATTCAGAAGAGGCTATGGCATTTTGTAGCTATGCCAGACTAGACCCACAGGAGCTGCAAATTCTCATTTCACATTTACTACTAACTTGCTGATCTCTAAAAATTGCTTCATTTCCTTGTTTTTAGACCTTTTCCATTTATTAATAAATGGAACTTGGTCGAAGAAAACTGAAAAATTTCAATATAAAATCTAGAACTTTTCTCCTGCTACAGTAAAATTTCATTGTTGATGTATTGGTTGATAAAGTCATATTTGTAAATGCATTTGATTAAAATGGATATTAGATTTTTCTATTCTTGTTAATTACTTAAACCCCACAGAAATCAATTAAACTGACTAGAACACTTGGTAAACAATAGTTATTTAACCTTCCTTCCAGCTGGCATTTCTGCAAATTGCCAGGGAGAAAAGGAGTCTGGACAGTCAGGCTCTCTTAAGCCCAAACCCCTCACTTACATCCTTCTCCAATCAGACATTTCATCTCCTAGCAGAAGCTCAAATATGATGGGAGCAGCTTGTGAATAATGAAGGCAGTCCTGTTACTTGGGGAATTCTAAGGATTTCAGGTTGAGTTCTCTCTCAGGATCCGGGAACATAGACTTTATTCTACTTAAAATTATTTCCTTACCTAATCTTCAGATTTTCCTATATGTTGCTTACACAGTCCAAGTTATCACTCTGTGTTTTAATTATAGCAAATACCTCTCTTTTTCTCTAGGAGTCTGGAGCACCTATTCTCACCGATGATGTTAGTTTACAAGTGTTTATGGATCATTTGAAGAAACTTGCTGTGTCAAGTGCTGCTTGACATGATAAATTTGTTAAAACACTGAAGATGAAATAATACTTCAATTTTGTTTTTTTCTTTTTCAGTTTATCTGTGTAAACCAACAGAAATACCTTTCTAGACTTTTTGTACCAGTGTGGTTTAAGACAATGTATGGAAAAATGTTCACCTTTGTAGATTAAGCTGGAATATAATGAGAGCAGTGAGAACAAATTTGTTTTGCAAGCACAGTATTATAACTGGTATACAGATTTGAGGTCTTTATAACTTAATTATGTTTAAGAGCAAAAATAGAGTCTGCCACAGATATAACTTACTTGTATATTGCAGACAAATCCAAAGTGGCACTGAATGTCCTTGCTGACCTTTTAAAAACTTATTTTAGCCAGAAAGGAACAAATCAATAGTAATGATAAATGTGAACATTTTTGCTTATTCATTGAAAGTTTTTCTATGATTTTTCAAGCACTTACATGTGTACACTTTTTCTGTACTTATTCTGGTAAGGCAGGTTTAATTTTTGACTTGTTTAGGAATTATCAGACTTTATAATGGCAGTTTCATGAAGGTAATTTAATACTTTTGGTTTTTTGGAAAAATTGTATAGAGATGAAAAATTTGGAGGGGCTAGGTAACAACCCCACAACTGACAATAAATGTGAAATTCCACAGAGTACCCAGCTCATGTGATTTAACCACAGTAAATTTTTTTTTTGTTTTAAAAAAAGAGAGATAGAAAAGAAAGCATTTTGTCAGAGTGAGTGGAAGAAATCCTTTGCAGCAAAATGAGTGTTGAAACTACTAACCCAATTTTGGTGTTTATTACATCATTTTGTTGTTTCCCTTTTTATTTAGATGAATTTTATATCCTTCAGTACTTTAGCATTATTTTGGGAGTTTACACATTAGTTTTTGTTTCTGCTTCCTTTTTGTGAAATTTATGAAGTTGTGGTTCTTACTGAAACAGTATTATATAATGTTTAATTATGTCATGTAATACTCAGTTCTGTTTTGATTTATTCATTGGTATCATTTACATTTATCTTTTAAAGTTTACTTGTAGCAAATATGTTTACATTGCTAAAGCCAGATAAGTTTCCATGATGAAATTTACATATTAAGTACTACAAGTGAAAGTGGTGCTCTGATAGATGCTTGAAAGACAGTTTTGATGATTGTACTTGCATGAACACAATCACATGAAGGTGAGACAGAAACCTATATAATTGTTTATATGTTATATCAACTGTCTTAAATAAATTGCTTTGTTCTATATTATTTGAATTGAACTGTGCTGGGCCAAAATGCCAATAAAATGTACTTTTCTCTGTTTTCCTGATTGTTTTGAAACACACATTTATGGGGTGTAGTGTGATATTCAAATTAGGTTAATAAGCATTTTTACCACCTTAAGCATTAATTATTTCTTTATGTTGGGTACCTTTAAACTCTTATCTTCTCCCTTATGAAATATATAACTTGCTATAAACTATGGTCACCCTATGTGCTATAGGACACTAGAATATTTCTCCTATCCAAATGTGTTTGGACCCTGTTGTCTGACCTTCCTTTCTCCCTGCCTTCCCAACCTCTAGTGACCACTGTGCTGCTGTACTCCTGTGAAGTAACTTTTAAGTTTCCACATATGGTTGAGAACCTGTGGTATTTATCTTCCTTGCCTGGCTTATTGCACTTAAAATACAGTATATCCTTGGTATCTATATGTATATGGTTTCGAGGGGACCAGCGCTGAGGAAAACCGTGAGTGCTCAGAATGTGCAGGCTTCAGTGCTGTACTGTGGATGTTTGATTCATTTTTCCCATAGTGATGTCCAACCTCCACCAATGACAGGCTGCCTTTCAACTAATCTAGAGTTTTTACTTTATCACTTAAATTAAGCACATTAACTTTTACTTTGCTTTTGGGGTGCCTTTGCTTTTTTGGAGGCATATTTCACAAAATTCAGGACTGGGACATACTCAGCAGATAATGATGTAAATACAGCTGATGATAACACAGGACTGACTGAGCTTCTCCACATCAGCTGAGCTGTGTAATAAGCACACAGGAATTTAACATTTTTTATTTTGAAATTTACTTGTATTAAAAAATTTTTTTTTCTTACTGCATTTGATCAAAACTGCATGTAATAAATCCACAAGTAAGGCGGGCTTACTGTAATGTCCTCCAGTTCCTTCCATACTGCTCCAAATGACAGGATGTAATTCTTTGGCTGAGTAATATTCATTACACACACCCCACACACCACATAAAAAGGACATTTAGGATTAAGAAGTTATTTTAAAAAGAAAGAATTTGTTGAGATATAATTCACACTTGTAATTCAGTCATTTAAAGTGTACAAGTCATGGGGTCTGTAACTGTTATCATAATAAATTTTAGAGCATTTTTATCACCTCGAATGATTTTTTTTGCTGTAAGCAAAACTTAAGGACCCTGTGATGAGGATACCTGTTTAGTTTGCTTGGTTCCTTATATCCTTTAAGAATGCTGTTGTTTCTTGTGGTAACCACCTGGTACCCCTAAACTGTCCTTTACTTCTAAATCAATTACAGTAGAAAGAGCTAAAGTATTTCTGATTTAATGGTTAATGGATGAACAAATATATCACCATACCTTTTTAATGAACCATTTAAAAGAAGTTACCTTAGGTCATTCTTTTGTATATAATTTAGCTATTAGTAAATCACTAGCCATTTAAATACACTGTTAAAAATGTTTAATCTTTTATCTTAGTTTATTTGGACTGCTACAACAAAATACCTTAGGCTGGTAATTTATATAAACAGAAATTAATTTCTTACAGTTCTGGGTGCTGGGAATTTAAAATCAAGATGTCAATAAAGTGGGGGTCTGGTGAGGGCTCTTTGCTTCATAGATGACACCTTTTTACAGTGTCCTTATGGCAGAAGGAAGGAAGGGGCAGGGTTAACCAACTTCTCAGGCCTCTTGTAAGACCACAAATCCCATTTGTGAGGGCAGAGACCTTACGCCTAAACCTAAAAACCTCACCTCTTAATACACATTAGAGATTAAGTGTCAACATAAATTTTGGAGGGGCCCAAACATCCAGACTATAGCACCCTTTTAGTCAACTTAAGAGAGACAAAAAAATGTTTGCTTAATTACCAACAGCACTGAGAGACCTTGGTGTATTACCCAGAACTATTTTGGAGTTTATTCTTGAACCTCTACTTCTATTAGCCTTATTTTTAAAAATGACCTTAGTGCTGGGGGTATGGCTCAAGCGGTAGAGTGCTTGCCTAGCAAGCATAATGCCCTGTGTTCAAATCCCAGTCCAGTACCACCAAAACAAAACAAAAGACCTTAGACCTCATCTCTGCATACTTGTATTTTGGTGTAACAGGATAAATATGTTTGTTTGAGACAGTCTTGCTATGTAGTTCAGGCTAGCTTCAGACTCACAATCCTCTTGTCTTTGTCTTGTGAATGCTAGGATTACAGATGCATATGACAGGATGGATACTTTTTTAAATTTATTTTTTGATTTAGCATACATTATTAATATGAGGGGATTTCACAGTGATAATTCCATTTATGTGCACAGTGTACCTTGAACAAGTTCACCACCTCCATTACATTTCCATTTTATTCTTCTTTCTCCCCTGATTTTCTTTTTTTTTTTTTTTTTTTCATTTTTCTTTTATTATTCATATGTGCATACAAGGCTTGGTTCATTTCTCCCCCTGCCCCCACCCCCTCCCTTACCACCCACTCCCCCCTCCCTCCCCCCTCAATACCCAGCAGAAACTATTTTGCCCTTATCTCTAATTTTGTTGTAGAGAGAGTATAAGCAATAATAGGAAGGAACAAGGGGTTTTGCTGGTTGAGATAAGGATAGCTATACAGGGCATTGACTCACATTGATTTCCTGTGCGTGGGTGTTACCTTCTAGGTTAATTCTTTTTGATCTAACCTTTTCTCTAGTTCCTGGTCCCCTTTTCCTATTGGCCTCAGTTGCTTTAAGGTATCTGCTTTAGTTTCTCTGCGTTAAGGGCAACAAATGCTAGCTAGTTTTTTAGGTGTCTTACCTATCCTCACCCCTCCTTGTGTGCTCTCGCTTTTATCATGTGCTCATAGTCCAATCCCTTGTTGTGTTTGCCCTTGATCTAATGTCCACATATGAGGGAGAACATACGATTTTTGGTCTTTTGGGCCAGGCTAACCTCACTCAGAATGATGTTCTCCAATTCCATCCATTTACCAGCGAATGATAACATTTCGTTCTTCTTCATGGCTGCATAAAATTCCATTGTGTATAGATACCACATTTTCTTAATCCATTCGTCAGTGTGGGGCATCTTGGCTGTTTCCATAACTTGGCTATTGTGAATAGTGCCGCAATAAACATGGATGTGCAGGTGCCTCTGGAGTAACAGTCTTTTGGGTATATCCCCAAGAGTGGTATTGCTGGATCAAATGGTAGATCGATGTTAGCTTTTTAAGTAGCCTCCAAATTTTTTTCCAGAGTGGTTGTACTAGTCTACATTCCCACCAACAGTGTAAGAGGGTTCCTTTTTCCCCGCATCCTCGCCAACACCTGTTGTTGTGGTGTTGCTGATGATGGCTATTCTAACAGGGGTGAGGTGGAATCTTAGTGGTTTTAATTTGCATTTCCTTTATTGCTAGAGATGGTGAGCATTTTTTCATGTGTTTTTGGCCATTTGAATTTCTTCTTTTGAGAAAGTTCTGTTTAGTTCACTTGCCCATTTCTTTATTGGTTCATTAGTTTTGGGAGAATTTAGTTTTTTAAGTTCCCTGTATATTCTGGTTATCAGTCCTTTGTCTGATGTATATTGGCAAATATTTTCTCCCACTCTGTGGGTGTTCTCTTCAGTTTAGAGACCATTTCTTTTGATGAACAGAAGCTTTTTAGTTTTATGAGGTCCCATTTATCTATGCTATCTCTTAGTTGCTGTGCTGCTGGGGTTTCATTGAGAAAGTTCTTACCTATACCTACTAACTCCAGAGTATTTCTACTCTTTCTGTATCAACTTAAGAGTTTGGGGTCTGATATTAAGATCCTTGATCCATTTTGAGTTAATCTTGGTATAGGGTGATATACATGGATCTAGTTTCAGTTTTTTGCAGACTGCTAACCAGTTTTCCCAGCAGTTTTTGTTGAAGAGGCTGCTATTTCTCCATCGTATATTTTTAGCTCCTTTGTCAAAGATAAGTTGGTATAGTTGTGTGGCTTCATATCTGGTCCTCTATTCTGTTCCACTGGTCTTCATGTCTGTGTTTTTGTGCCAGTACCATGTGTTTTATTGTTATTGCTTGTATATAGTTTGAAGTCAGGTATTGTGATACTCCTGCATTGTTCTTTTGACTGAGTATTGCCTTGGCTATTCGTGGCCTCTTGTGTTTCCATATAAATTTTCACAGTAGATTTTTCAATCTCTTTAATGAATGTCATTGGAATTTTGATGGAATTGCATTAAACATGTAGATTACTTTGTCTCCCCTGATTTTCAATACTGGTGGTTTTCATTATGCTGTCTTCATATGCGTATTGCAGCTACTTACCTCCTCTTCACTAGGTATCCTTTTCCTTTCCATAAATATTTCTTTTATTGGCCGATTTAAAGCTGAGCTGACATTTTCTATCCATTTCCCTTTATTCTCCTACTCAGAGACTGCACCTAAGAATGTTCTTTAGTTCAAACAGAATCACTCTGAACTCTTCTCAACATCTTCAGTAAGTAAGCTCTACCTCTAATAACTCTTAAGTCTGTTTCTGTTCTCATCTTACTGCTGTTCAACCTTCCTCACACCTATCTGGTTTGGTGAGATAGAACCAGTCTGCTTTCCTCAGCCCTTTCTCCTCCCTTCCAATTCACTTTCTGCTTCCATAAGAGTGCTCTTTCTGAATACAGATCTGACCATGCACTTCCTTAGCCCTGACAATAAAGTCCAGGCACTTCAGCCTGCTCACTTTGGTTTCTTTTTTTTTTTTATTCATATGTGCATACAATGTTGGGGCATTTCTTCCCCTTCCCCACCCTCCCTTACCCCCACCCCTCCTCTCCCCCCTACCCCTCGATACACCGAGCCTGCTCACTTTGTATGATATACTGAATCAGACCCAAGCTTTACCCTAGAAAATGGTTACAAAGGACATAGTTGAAAGGTGGCATTGGAGTTGGGCCTCTAATTTACCTTACTTAACCTTAAGTGTATTTGTTTATCTATGTAGTGACAAAAGCAAATGTATTTTATCTTTTTCCTTTTTAATTAACATAATTGTACAAATTTGTGGGACACACTGATTTATATATATATATAAATG